AATATTTTGATTATATGGGTTAAATATTAACCCATCATTTAACATGGCATTTATTTATGAAACCAATAATGGTAAATCCTGTGTAAACGATTCCTCTCCACAGGTTCTTCGTTTAGTATCTTTCCCTGATTTTAAATTTTTGGGGGTTTTTTTTGTGTGTGTGTGTGTGTGATGAAACCCTGGAATCCCTGATCATACACTGATGATTAGTTTAATTCAGTTGGGTGAACCAGCGATCACTATTTGACAAATAAATTTTACTTTCAGCCAAATTTATTAGCGTCATATATATTTTCTGATTTCAATTTTTATTCTGATTTGTATCATAAGATGGTAGTCATCAAAATCTTTATAAGGATGATGTATACTGACAATAATTTTGAAATCAGTGAGAAAATCAGGACAAGACTCAGATACGATATTTGCCCTCTAAATACTGAACAATAAGATCTCCAAGTTCAGGTCAGGAACTACTCACCCACCCACTGTTGAAAGCAGGTCAATGATTAACTAACTGATCAGGCTAACACACAGAATGTGAACTCAGACTACAGACTTCTGCCTCCAAACAGAAACTTCCACCTACAAGGGTTAGGTAGCCTAGCACGTAGAATCTCATTTGCTATTTTTATGGGAAAAGTATTAATAAGAATTAGATCTGCCAACATGTCCAGTGTGGTTCAGTGGAATCCAGCCAAAGAAGACCCAAAGAGTTAAGGACCCTAAAATATGATCCTGTCTACTGGTGAAGATACCTCTGAACAAAACTAGGAATCTCTTCAGTGGTAAAAACCAAATGTTCCCCACAAGGTTGCAGACCATCAAATTTTACCACCACATAAGCAAAACTCAGTTGCAAAATATGATAACCCTAGAGGTGGGTATTAGTTCTATGGTAAATGTTCTGGGGTAGAAGTTCTAAGATAAATATTCATCACATCTTTGCTTATAATGACAAAAGTTGGAAACAGCCTAGGGTCCCAGCAGTCAGGGGCTGGGTAAATCAGATAGATTAA